GCGAACCGTAGCAGTAGCGTCGTATTCTTTCGCTCTGCGCGACGCGTCTGCACAGTTTTTCTCACTTCTTCCTTTGGCAGGCGCTCCATTCTCTACATCTTTATTCCCTATTTCTACGATTCCATTTTCTTATTATTTCGCTTACTTGGTTCAGGGTTCGACTGCTACCGCGACGTCAACCGCAGCAGCGAATATCTGCCACAACGACAGCCGCCGTCGCTACACCCAAAAAAAATATTTTCATCTCAATTTTCTGAGACTTTCATGCGTCTTTTATGGAAATGGATCGAGTAGATCGTTAAAAGTTAATTCTACAAGCAACTTTATCTGTTTATGAATTTCTTAGCTTATTTAGCGCACCTTTTTGTTTTCCCGGCCAGAGGGCAGTTGGTTCGTTGTTGTCGAGTCGCCGTTAGCTGGGTATTGGCCCGCGTCACTGGCGTCGTCCATTCAGCGGTACAGCGACTTCGTATCGCCTAAAATTTTTCACTGCTGCTACCGACAGCAAGCTCCATAGCGCTTGGCGCTTAAAAGTTCTGCGGTCACGATATTTTTGGATAATTTTTTTTTCTCATTTGCGAATCGCCGGCGTCATTAAATCTATATAGTACTTAAACAAACACACACATATAGGTTCAGGAGTAGACCCAAACGACGAAAAGTCCGTCCGCCTGTCTCAATTTTATATAGGCGGCGACAATGACGACGACGACGCTCCAACGGCTACGGCACACACACGCGCGAACATACACAGACACTGGGCGCGGGCGGCGCTTTGCGGGACGACGGACACCGCACTTGCAAATGGCCACAAAATATTTTACTTTCCACCAACAAATTGTGTAGATTTACACATGAGGCTCACTCATATTCATCAATAGCACTTGCGTTACCTTTTTCCGCATTTTTTTAACAATTTTTAAAGCACTAAACCACAATTCTTTTTTAGCTTGGGCTAGTGAAAATTTTTTGTATTGAATTCACACACGACACACACAAAAGAAAAGAAGATTCTCCTTTGCTCTTGCTTGTCTTCTTCTTCTTCCACGAAAAACGAGCGGGACAACGGACGACGACAATGGTTAAGGCAAAGGCGACGAACGAGTGAGCGAATGAAATGAACTGATTACGCTTTTCAGTTCAGCAATTAGCAGAGTGGAACTAGAAAATTTCGGACGCATGGTTGCTTATGGGTTGTACCGCCGCTTGTGTTATTTGAAGAATTTTGAATGGCAATTGTACTGCGTAACGTGCTTATATTTCAAATTTCTATACTTAGTTGTATCTTTACATTTCATCAATTATTTAAGGCTGTTTCTGCTGTGCTCAAAATATATTGTAAATAGTGTTTACTTTTTTTATGAAACACGGCAATCCTATTTGAATGCAATCCACATTGCAGTGGACTGGCTATATGCTACATTTCTGCATACGCTGGCAAAGCTTTGGAGGGAATGAGAAAACATCACTTTGTTGGCTTTATACCTAAAGTGGATAAATGTACCTAAAAGCAGACACCGTAGAAGTGTATAGAAACATGGCAAATATGCTGATGATACGTAGAGAGAAACCACGTCCACGTCACGGTCGTCATGTAGTGGTGAGTTTTCGTTAACAGACAGATTCCATAAAAGTCCCGCCAAATAGAAATTAGTTTCTGCCAGCTGGTTCGTATTTGTTGCATACATTATTGTTTTGTCGCGCGTCAAAAGTTTAGAGTTGGAGGATTTTTATCAGTTGCGGCAGTGTATACGTTGCCAATATAGCTCCTTCTATTCAAAATCTCAGAGTTATCTTCGATATCAGCCAAATGCAACCCTGTGACGTAGAAGATAATATCTAGGTTCATTCCTTATCTTTTTGGACTAAAATCTGAAAAGTGTCAAAATGCCAGAGCGTAAGCAAAATGCGCTCACTAAAAGAGANCTTGCTTGTCTTCTTCTTCTTCCACGAAAAACGAGCGGGACAACGGACGACGACAATGGTTAAGGCAAAGGCGACGAACGAGTGAGCGAATGAAATGAACTGATTACGCTTTTCAGTTCAGCAATTAGCAGAGTGGAACTAGAAAATTTCGGACGCATGGTTGCTTATGGGTTGTACCGCCGCTTGTGTTATTTGAAGAATTTTGAATGGCAATTGTACTGCGTAACGTGCTTATATTTCAAATTTCTATACTTAGCTGTATCTTTACATTTCATCAATTATTTAAGGCTGTTTCTGCTGTGCTCAAAATATATTGTAAATAGTGTTTACTTTTTTTATGAAACACGGCAATCCTATTTGAATGCAATCCACATTACAGTGGGCTGGATATATGCTACATTTCTGCATACGCTGGCAAAGCTTTGGAGGGAATGAGAAAACATCACTTTGTTGGCTTTATACCTAAAGTGGATAAATGTACCTAAAAGCAGACACCGTAGAAGTGTATAGAAACATGGCAAATATGCTGATGATACGTAGAGAGAAACCACGTCCACGTCACGGTCGTCATGTAGTGGTGAGTTTTCGTTAACAGACAGATTCCATAAAAGTCCCGCCAAATAGAAATTAGTTTCTGCCAGCTGGTTCGTATTTGTTGCATACATTATTGTTTTGTCGCGCGTCAAAAGTTTAGAGTTGGAGGATTTTTATCAGTTGCGGCAGTGTATACGTTGCCAATATAGCTCCTTCTATTCAAAATCTCAGAGTTATCTTCGATATCAGCCAAATGCAACCCTGTGACGTAGAAGATAATATCTAGGTTCATTCCTTATCTTTTTGGACTAAAATCTGAAAAGTGTCAAAANGTCGCGCGTCAAAAGTTTAGAGTTGGAGGATTTTTATCAGTTGCGGCAGTGTATACGTTGCCAATGTAGCTCCTTCTATTCAAAATCTCAGAGTTATCTTCGATATCAGCCAAATGCAACCCTGTGACGTAGAAGATAATATCTAGGTTCATTCCTTATCTTTTTGGACTAAAATCTGAAAAGTGTCAAAATGCCAGAGCGTAAGCAAAATGCGCTCACTAAAAGAGANGCTTGTCTTCTTCTTCTTCCACGAAAAACGAGCGGGACAACGGACGACGACAATGGTTAAGGCAAAGGCGACGAACGAGTGAGCGAATGAAATGAACTGATTACGCTTTTCAGTTCAGCAATTAGCAGAGTGGAACTAGAAAATTTCGGACGCATGGTTGCTTAGGGGTGTACCGCCGCTTGTGTTATTTGAAGAATTTTGAATGGCAATTGTACTGCGTAACGTGCTTATATTTCAAATTTCTATACTTAGTTGTATCTTTACATTTCATCAATTATTTAAGGCTGTTTCTGCTGTGCTCAAAATATATTGTAAATAGTGTTTACTTTTTTTATGAAACACGGCAATCCTATTTGAATGCAATCCACATTACAGTGGGCTGGATATATGCTACATTTCTGCATACGCTGGCAAAGCTTTGGAGGGAATGAGAAAACATCACTTTGTTGGCTTTATACCTAAAGTGGATAAATGTACCTAAAAGCAGACACCGTAGAAGTGTATAGAAACATGGCAAATATGCTGTTGATACGTAGAGAGAAACCACGTCCACGTCACGGTCGTCATGTAGTGGTGAGTTTTCGTTAACAGACAGATTCCATAAAAGTCCCGCCAAATAGAAATTAGTTTCTGCCAGCTGGTTCGTATTTGTTGCATACATTATTGTTTTGTCGCGCGTCAAAAGTTTAGAGTTGGAGGATTTTTATCAGTTGCGGCAGTGTATACGTTGCCAATATAGCTCCTTCTATTCAAAATCTCAGAGTTATCTTCGATATCAGCCAAATGCAACCCTGTGACGTAGANATCTGGTGGGGCCTTGCTGGTGGTAACACCGCTGAAATTTTGATATTAAATCAAAATATGAATCTGTTCCCTATTGAATTATTTATGATTAAGTTTTAAGGAATTATTCAGCAAGTTTTTTAAGATTTAAAGGTATTTAAACACTAGATTGAGAGAATGTTGTCTGGTGGCGTCATGCGAAAAATACTTATATCAAGACAACAAAGTGTCCAAACACAAAAACTTGCAATCATATTGCTCGTCAAGATGACAGTTGGTACGCCATTGGTGTTTGCCTGTGGAGTTCTGGGTAAAGTGGTGAAAGGTGAAATAAGCTAACCGTGAACCGGTTATCAGCTAGAGTGGTGAATAGGCTCTCCGATTGATAGCTGGAGTGGAAAAATGCAACCATGTTGGCTTACAATTGCTTGCACTTGGCAATTCCAGGTATCTCATTTGGGGTGTTCACAGTTCGTTCCAAATAGTTGGGGTGTTCACAGTTCGTTCCAAATAGTGTCTCAAAATGTAGACGTCTACATTTTAAGACGTTTTCTAACCGTAAAATCTGTGGTGTTGTTGTTTCCCATACAAAATTGGAAAACGACGCCGTCTACATTTTGT